GGGGAAGCTAAGAAAGAAGTAACCCCTGGCTTCATTTCATGACAAACTGTGTTCTTGTCAGTGAACACTATAAGGTTAGGCTCAACACAGAAATCTTTAATTAAAATGAATATACAGGGATTGGCATTTGCACTGCAATCATCTCACAAGTGTGTGTGTAACTTCAACAAGACTGCTTCAGGTGAGCTCATCCATAGTTCAAATAGCTTACAACACAGTTTGTGATCATACTGAAGTACCACCATGCACAACATTACTGACTAAGCTCACAGTCTCCACAGACACTGCTATGCACGTTTCTTCTGTTGTAGTTGCTCAGTGTAGGATACTGCAAACTCTAGAAACTTAAAGGAAGCAGCATCAACTAATGGCCATTTGCCCAGAGCGTGCCATGTGCCTAGCAGGAAAGTTGCTCACAGTCTGGCCAGGGAAGTGCACACATCAGTGATCCCAACACAGTGGGATATGGGAGGAGCCCAGGTGGCAAGACGGGAGCCTAGAGGGGGCAGGTGCAGCAGAGGGAGGTGGGGTGTGAAGGTGCTGTTCTAATGTGGATTAGGGCTGGCTAGACCAAAAGGCCTAGTGAGAACTGTGGGTTCTCCACAAGGCGTACAAGTGCCAGGGACCAGAGGTGAGCGGTGTGACTTGAGCAATCAGGAGCCACAGCACAAAGGACAAGGAGGCCCACTGAGGATCCTGGTTCTGTATTATAGATCTGAAGCAGGTAGGCAGCATGAGCAGACTCACAGTCAATAAGGAATACCTGGCAGCCAGATGAAGAGCAGAATGCAGGCAGCCTCAGGAAGGGTGGCTGGGAGGCCCAGGGAAAGGAGGCAGAGGCTGATGCAGAACAGCTGGCGTGCCCAGGGCACAGTGGCTGCAGGGATGGCCAGAGATGACAACATCAAGCAGCACTAAGTAGTTAGGAATGACAAGATCTGGTGCTTAAATATAGATACCCGGGGGAAAGTTGCACGGGTACTTCCCATTCTAGGAAGGAAGCAAGGAAGTGTGGTGAATGTTAACAGTAATTTACTAGCAATCAGGTTGCCTGGCTAGTGTGCTTTAAATGATTATGGCGATTCTGATGACATTTACAAAGGTCACATATCCTCAAGTACCTTCTGAATAATATAAGTAACAATCTATAATTCAGGAGTTACATTTTATAAGATACAAAAACTCTGGAAATTAGCTTGTGACATAGATGGCGTTCCACTACCCAGGTGGGACACAGTCCAGTGCGTGAGTCCTGCCCTGTGATGCTCAGATCAGGAGTCCAGCCTCTTCTGACTATGCCCCTTTCCCACCTCAGTCGAGGCACACAGAACTTTCTTTTTCTTAAATGTATCATGCAGTTACGACTTTCTGCAAGACTCCTAGCCTGATATTGGGTTGCGCAGGCACTTGCCTCGCAAGGACCAAATGAAAGGCTGCTTCCTCACAGAGGTCCAGCTCCCCTAGCAGACCCCATGCTGCTGCCCCTGAACTCTGAATTTCCTGAAATGCCTCTTACCATACATTGTGAAGTTTGTGTGTTTCCTCAACTTATTCATGAGATTCCTGAGAATGAAGACCCCAGTGTGTTCTTCATTCTATCTGCAGGGCCCACCACAGAGGTGGCCTGGGAGGCTTGTGGAGCTGAACTGGCACTGGTGAAGTTGGTCTGGAGCTGTTGAATGTTCTGCTCCAAGCTTAGAATGCACTTTGAAGGTGGAATTGAGAAGTTCTGAGGCACACCTCTCCTTCAAAGATGGGTGACAATTCCAGAGCATCTATGACTTCTGGGTTCCCTCAAAACTACCACCAGATAGCAGAGACCTCTGTGGAGGCCAAGCAAAGGTCTGTTTGCTTTTCTAGAAGCTTCCCATAACAGTAAGCCACACAGAGGCTCTGATATAGACAAAGTCTCCTCCTATATTAAAACACTGAATACTGCTTCCCACAGACCAACAAGATACATGTCAACTCACTTTCTGGTGAAGCCCCTGGGAGTCCATCTCTGGGGTGGCTTTCAGCTTACAACACCTCTCCCTTCTCAGGAGACAGCACACTATTGGGAGACATACTGGGAGAGCCCAGGGGTGTGGAAGGCAGACATAAGCCTGAGAAGCCAGGAGACATATAGAGTAAGTGGCCCCAAGTGGAGTTCACTGGCAGCAGCAAAGAGGGCTGCTGTCCAGTCCCAGAGCTGGTTGGCCCCTCCCCACCCGAGTCTAAATGATCAGTAATTCCTTTGATTCCATGATTTCTCCAGCATCATTTTGAATTCCCCTCTTTTGTGGATTAACTTTGTTTTCGTAAAATGCAACCAAAAGAATATCATGGCCCTTAGTTTCAGCTCTCTCGCTGGATGCCACCCTCATGGTTGGCACCCAGCTCACACCTGGGGCAAGTCTCTTACTGTCCATGTACAGGGTGTCAATTTGACTTTGTTACCATGGGCTCCCTGAGAGGGCAGGGTCATACACTTCTGGGTATTCCTCATGATGCCTAACTTCAGCACAGTGCCCCAGCCATTTATGACTCACTGAAGGACACAGATAACTCAACCAAACAGATGCTGGGAGAGGGCTGTGGCCTTTCGAATCCTTACCAGCCTTACATAGGAAGCCGCTGTTCAGTGCTATCCTCTGCTTTATCTAGAGACACGCCAACAAATGGCTGGAGATGTCTCCTTAGTACGTTTTTCTTTTTTCAAAAACTGTAACTTTTATTTGATACATGTAAGAAAAGTAGAAACAATGAATTAGAAAAGTCTATGTATGAAAGCCTGGAACTTACTACATAGACCAGGCTGACCTTGAACTCAGAGATCCTCCTGCCTCCTGAGTGCTGGGATTAAAGGCATGTGCTATCGTGCCTGGTTCAGACACTTTTCAGCTACATGACTGGCATGTTCTCCAAGTTCTAGTAACTGCTTCTCTCCCTTTCCCTATTTTACTCTTTCCCTCTCACTTCTTATCTCTCATTTTTCAGCTTTCCAGACAGTATAAAAGACAAAAACAAAAAACATCAGCAAGACAAACAACCCAGAACACTTATAAATGGCTATAGGTATTTTGTTAATCTTTCTTTGGTCAGTCCTGTAATACTTCTAATAAATCTGTTAAAGATTTAGAAAGCTAATTTCATCTCAAACCTAACTATAGGTCAGTATGTGAACTACAGGCTCACTATGGTTGGGGCTCCTGAATCTGTTAGCATACCACAGGTGGAATCAATTTTTTATGTTTGTCAGATGGTCTCCATAAATAATGAAATCTCCATTTTACCTCAGATATACTACATGTGAGGCCTTTCCTTGTTCTTAAAATACTCAATTTGGGAATTTTAAATTATTTATACCATTTTTCTCTATGACCCTTTTCTAATATACAGGGAAAGAATATCTGTGGTGAATTGGGCCTAGGACATGGGTGACAAAGTAATCTTCTCCTATTACCATTTCCCTACCAGCTCAGAACTGATTTTACAGATGCTGACACAAAAGCCAAAGAATGACATGAAATGTACTCCATTATCTGAGCTATGACTGGGAGACAGATCTCATCTAGATTAAAGCCAGTCCCTATAACCATAGCAAATCATCGAACACTTATCCTAGAGTCATGAATTTGCCATTTCCCAGAAGTACAATAGAGGTAAAAGGTCATGGGGGAGCAGGGAAAACTGAGTTCTCAGGGCTGGACCCCACTCCACCTGTGGAGCCAACAGGGATATCATGCCCTTGTCCTTAAACAGCAGAGCCATCTACCTTTCAAGGCTGTGGACACAGAAATCTTTAGCTGTAAGCAGCATGTGGATCTGTTTAACTCAGTAAGAGAGGAACAAAGTGAGCTGAATCTCATGACATCAGCCTAAAAGGGGCCAGTTACAGTTAGGCAGTGAAATCCTCGGAGGTGGAAAAGGGAGGATCAAGATGGGTTAGGGGAGGAGAGAGAAAGACAAGAAAAAGCTATTCTCCAGAGCGAGGTTCAGAGAGAGGGACAGTGAGAGTTACTGAGGTGGGCTGAGGTACATGCTCCAGCATGCTGTGAGACTACGAATCCCAAAACTACTTGTGGGTTGTGTTTAGTCTATGACCAAGAATCACCTTAGCTAACTCTTCTGGTCCACTCAAAGCAGTTCACAATGGATATGTATGTGATTATCATAAATTCAGCTATAGCGAGTGGCGAAAAAGGAAAATAAGGGAAAAGGCCTTAGTCATATCCCTGTGTGGGCAATTCTGAGTATTCTGTGATGGAGAGTGTATCTGAGGGCATGAGGAGGCGAGGGGAAGTCTCCCAGCATCTGTGTGTTTCTGGAAGAGGAGTCTAGTGTGTAGTGAAACATACAGCCTAGACCTCCTGGTCTCCACACGCAAGGCAGACAGTTCATCTGGCCATGGAAACTGTTGGCCATTTCAAAGCTGAAGATGAGATGATGCACTGGACATATTGGGACGGCTTCCAACATGGTGTACTCTGGGCGCTCACTGTTGCACATGTCCTCTGTTAACCCCTAAACTCCTCTTCGCTTCCTGGTCTTGCTACTGCCCTGCCCATACTGTTCCAGGTATGATGCCCTTTCCACCCTCTCCCTGTTATTCTAAACCCTTCCCATCCTCAACTCCCCTAACTATACTTTCTTGTTTCCCAATGTCATCTTCCAAGCCCACCTTCCTAAAACATCGTATGCTTGGCTGGGCCACTTCTTCGGTAACTTGCCATTTCCCACCTTATGATAGGTCTTTACATCAGGTTTCACAGTATTTATTTGAATATTGTAATTGACTTCACCTTCCAACCTCCAGACAGGTTTCTTACTGCACCTGCATGAATTTATACCAAGTTCATCTGCATAGACAGATGCAGAATGAACCTGCTAAGAATACAGGTTCTGGGTTAGAATCCTGACCCTGCTACTTGACAACCTTGTTCCCATATATGACTAGAGGAAGAGAACATCAGCTCATCTCACTGGTGACCCACCGGGCAGGTGAAGTGTGAACTCACAAATGCCGAAGGGAGGAACAGGACCCCGAGCTCGTAGGAGCGGACCATCAGCTGGGTGCCGTTCTTCTCCAATGCTCCCCAGGCAGCCTTGGACAGATTTGCACTGTGGAGACAAGGACATAGAAGGGGCTGACTCAGTGTGGCATCTCTGTGAGGGTCAGACACGCATAGCTGTGAGAGCATCAGTCAAAAAAATAACCCATAGCTGCAATCATGTTGATTCAGTTCCCAGGAAAACTGGCATTTTTGAATAGGGAATTTAAACCCTGTTGTGCTGTAATTCTCAGGATTTATCTAATTGCTATTTTGGGATAGTTTCACCCTCATCTGCAATTCCCCCCAGGACAGCTATTAAAATGATTATCTTTCCTTAGAAATAAATTTTCCTGTCCTACACTCCATCCCCCTTTTCATAACCCTGGTTGTAGCCCAGGTTTCTAGTTTTGTTGTACATAGAAACAGCATTTAAGGAAAAACTGTTAATATTGTCATATATAGTGAACCTTAAATTTCATATAGTCTTTTTTTCTGCCTTTTTGAGGGAGGAACAAGTTAATACTAATTTCTACTTTCACTTTGGGGAAAGCAGCCACCAGCCTGGTACTTGTATCCAGAGAGAAATGGTTCATTTAGGATCAGGTTTAATATGAATAAAGAGTTGTGGATACAGCTAATAATAAATCTCAGCACAGCAGGAGGAAGGAGACCCGGAACAGACCAAAGGAAGTGCCAAGATGCACATGACTGTCACATTGATGTGGGTGCTAAAAAGCTGACTTCAGAGAAGTGGAGAAGACGCAGCAGTGGCTTCAGGCTGGGAAAGGAGGGCTTGGGGAGAGATGTCAAAAAAAAGTCCTAGTGCTAATTAATACAGTTATACAATATTGAACTCAGTATAAGCCCTGTAAGACAAAACTGAATGAGTTTTTAAGCTTTAAAAAAGATCTCCATTTCATTTTAGAATACATTGTTCCTTGCAGAAACTGTTTTTGCCCCTACACAGAGATGTTGTATCTGACTATTACTAGTTATAATCAGTTGCACTTGGATCCTTCGTGCCTGTGTATGTCTATAAAGTCACTGGGTAGATTTCGATGGTAATGTTTATCACTTCCACTAATTAACAGATGTAAATTTCCATGCTTCCTCCTCAAATATAATACATTTTAAAAAATTGTTGATTTTGTGTGTGTGTATCACACAGAACATCCCAAACCATCTTATTCAACTATACACCCACTTCCCAGATGGCACCCTCCCATAGCCTCCCTGCCCCCATTAGAGCCCTTATACTCTGATATCCCTGCTAAGGTCTGCTGTGTTGTTGGCACCCCCAGCCATTCTCCACTACTTGTCCATCTGGTGAATCTAGTCAGCCTATCTAGAGGTCTTTGTTTTAGGAGGGTCAGCTGTTCCTCATCTAGCAGCAATCAGTTGTCAATATTCCTTGGGATAAGATTGGGGTCTGCTATTCATGTTCCCAGTTCTATGCTGCGTTACTATCTGGGAGTCCCTTGGGCCACCCTGGCCAACAACTCAAAAGAAGGTATCTCCTATCTGGCATTGTTGTTTGTTATGTAGCCTTTAGCTATACATATTGGTCTTTTTGAGGCAGGGTCTTCCTGTAGCCCAAACTGGCTTGGAACTCACTATGTAGACCACACTGGCCTCACTGGTCTAACTCACAGAGCTCTGCCTGCCTTTAGCTATACATATGGACTCTTATGAAATTATATTGGCCCCTTTGATCTTTGGTTATACTTTCCTTTTGGGTGTTTAAAGCCATACAGTTGGCCCAGATAAACGGATTTATTTTTACTCTTAAGGTTGTTTGAGGATCTGTTCCTCAGGGGTCACATGGGCTTGGGAGGAGCCCCTGGCTCCTTTCTTTTACCAGTTCCACCTATGCGAAGATAAGTCAAATGTCCTGCTTGACCACGGTTGGCTTCGCCTGGAAGCATGGAGGAAATGATTCCTCTGTGTTGACCCTCCTGTTTATAGACTGGACACTGGTTCAAGTCCATCTGTTGGGGTCTCCTCTATCTCCTTGATCAAGAGAACAGGTGACCCACCACCATTATAGGATATTTTGAGAGATGCTCATAGTCCCCTGGAACTAGTTGACCTAGGAGGGCAAGGAGCAAAAAGTGTCCTTTATGTCCCTCTGAACAAATTATTATAGATCTCAAAGTATGTCTGTTAAACACCCAAGAAGGTTAGTTCCACCAGTCTGGTATTTTTAATTACCATGTGCTATGTAGATAAGGCTTGGGTAAAAAACCAAATATTCTCAGA